ACTTTTAATTAAGCGGGTACCTTGAATAAACATAACTTTGAGTTTCAAATAATACTGATTTTGTTGTTGTCTTAGGTGAAATTCAGGTGCTCAGGCATGAAAATGTGCTGCTCTACACTATACTTTTCTGCTCACACTGAAAAAAAATTAGAGGGAACATTGGGCTGGGGAGGGCAAAAGCAGCCCTGTTTTTGTGAAAAATGGGCCCATTTTTCGCTTGGTTTTGTTCTCCCCAGCCCCCAGGAGCACTCTACAGGCCTCCCAAACCCTTTGCATGTCCATTTTTGAGAAAAACAGGATGCGCAGGGCGGGGTTTCAGGAGGCCAAAAATGCTGTATTAGGTCTATAGGTTTTCACCCTCTTTTTTGGGGAAAAAAGGTGTGTCTTATACTTCAAAAATATGTATATACTGCTTCACAGTGCTTTTACAGTCCTCTCTAAGGGGTTTACAGAGTCAGCCTCTTGAATGATGGAAGGCTGGTCATGGTCATAAGCCACTTTTTCAGTGCCGTTGTAACTTTGAATGGTCACTAAACATACTGTTATAAGTCAAGGCCTACCTGTAGTACATACCATATTTTTCGGAGTATAAGGCGCACCAAGATTTTGAAGAGGGAAATTAAAAAAAAAAGTTTTTGCACTCTGCAGACGTCCCAAAAACGTGCTGTTTTTCGTCTTATACTCCAAAAAATACGGTAAGTGCAAAGGTCTTTGGGAGTAAAAACTAGTTTAGCAGTCAGGACTCCCTCCTGAATAGATTTAACTCCCTCCTGAAGGCCTAGTAAGAACTATCCCTCTCTCCAGAAAAGTTAGGGACAACTCCCCATCAGATGGTGGAAGCAAGGTTGGCTCTGGACTGTGGTTTTGCCCCTGTGTGGAAATCATCTAGTTTCAAACTTTCGCCCACTCTCTGCACTGGCTTCACGGATCTTCTTTGGCTACAAGGAATCCTTGATTCCATGTGGATTTTCTGTATTGCTTTTCCACTCCTGGGTTCAAAATTGCTTGGGTATAGATGAGACTTTTGGCTTGCCCCATGACCACTGGACAGGAAAAATAAGCATTACGGTAGTCCTTGACTTACAACAGTTGCCAATGATAGTTGCCGTGTCCCGGGGTCACGTGATCTCTTTTGCGGCCTTCTGACAAGCAAACTCAACGGGGAAGCCGGATTCCTTTAACAATCATGTGACTCACTTAACAACTGCAGCAATTCACTGCGGCAAGAAGAGTTGTAAAATGGGGCAAAACTCACTTAACAACCGTCTTACTTAGCAAAACAAATTTGAGGCTCAACCAATTGTGGTTGTCAGTTGAGGACTACCTGTATAGGTTTGGCACACATTTTTAAGTAACGTTTTAAGCCTTGCTGGCTACCCCAAAGCATGAATTTAAGAGCTCTGCCATACCAGTTGAATAAATAACATAAAGAAAACCAAAAACTGTCCATGAATAAGTAGACATGTGCTTTGGAGGTCTCATTTGCACCTTGGAATTTAATCCTAAAATGTAGGTGACGACCTTAAGCCTTGTTTGTACGGACAGAGGGCATCACATTTTGTGCCAGGCGATCATGTGCAAATCCACGACTGACAGAACAGCACCAAGCATGGTTTGGTGAGCAAATTGTAGTTGCACAAATCATGCAGAGTGTGACTTGGGAGTTCAATCTATGGCTGAGATAGGATCCTCCAGAGCAGTGGTGCCTGACCTTTTTGGCACTGAGTGTCAACACAGGAGGGCGCTCACACCGGACCACAGATACCCGGAAGAGAGCATACGGCTGATGTGCATGCGTGCACAACCAGCCGCTTTCTTCTGGGTTCCATTGTGTGCATGGGCGCCAGCCAGCTGGTCTTCACACATGCGCATGATTGAACCCGGAAGAGAGTGACCGGCCGTAGGTGCATACGTGCTGGACAGCTGGTCATAGAACATGTGTGCAACCCACTCTGCAACTGTGGCATGCGTGCCATAAGTTTGCCATCACGGCTCTAGAGGGAAAGAATGGCTCTATATTACACACCTCTTGTACGAAAACTAATTAGGGAGGCTTATAACTGAGCTCTGAGAACAAAGCCAAAATTAATGGATTCAATAAACATTTGCAAAATATGCAGCTTAACCGCCCGGGGCTGCTGCTATAAAAACCCTTAAATCATTTGGCTAAACTGCTTTAATAGCTTCTTTGTTCCAATAATGGCTGGTTTCAATTTTCCTTTGCAGTAGATGAAGTTCCCATCAACATTTTCTATCCATCCGTTTAACCGACATACACATTTAAAAATGCGCATATCAATTATCCACCCAAGGATGGAAAAAAGCCAAAGGTTCCTGTGGGCGTATAGCAGATTATGGACCCTTGGCCTCAACAGCTCTCTTGAACACAATCCTCTCCTCCTGCTCGCCTACAGCTGCCCTGGGGATGCAAATCCAGGCCAAAGGGAGAAAGCTGCTAGAGCAAGGTATGCAGGCAATCCTTGACTTACAACAGGTCTTTTTCTCACCGTTTGAAGTTACATTGGCACTGAAAAAAGTGACTTAGGAGTGTTTCCATCCATAAGACTGCATAGCATCCACAGGACCATGAGATAAAAATTCAGACATTTGGCAACTGACTCATGTTTATGACATGTTTGGCCTCCCAGGGTCACACCTTTTGAGACCTTCTGAAAGGCAAAGTCAAGGGGAAAGCCAGGTTCACTTAACAACTTAATAACCGCAGTGATTCTGTTAACAACTGTGGCGNAGTCTCTCAAAGCACTTCATCACTATAGACGTCAGTGCAATGGGTCTATAGTCATTCAAGCTTTTTATGGCTGCTCTCTTTGGAACTGGGATGATTGTGGCTGCTTTCAAGCATGATGGGACTCTAGCCTGTTGCAGGGAGGTTAAAAATCCTTGTCAGGACCCCTGTTAATTGGTCAGCACAGGTTTTTACCACTTTCCCCAACACATCGTCTGGACCTGCAGCTTGGTTGGG